CACCCTCTGAAAGAACACGGTGGTATCTCCCATGATCGTCGAGAAGCTTCGTTGGGACTTACCATGGTGGCTGCCGCCTTTTGGTAGTTGCCACGGCCCTTGTGGGACTTACCATGGATGATCTCGGTGCGTTGGTATATACCCTACCTCCCCATCGAGCATTGGGACTTACCGGCGGTATGACAGTTCCATTTGGAACATACCAGCGGTGTCATTGGCACGATGGGACGTGCCAGTGCTGTCGACTCCAGAATGGGATGTACCAGCGTGGGCTTCTCTGCTGCGTGGTACATTCTTCACTCTTGCCCATCGCACCATCAAGTACCTGCGCGCCAGGGGAACAGTGGGACGTACCAGCACTTCGTGCGCTGCGCTGGGGCATAACTGATTGCCCAATGGTACGTCCCTGGCATCTTAAATCGTACCACGGGATGACATTACTACGGCAGGCTGCTAAGAGAGTTTTCCGCTTCGTCAGTAGGTTACTCAAATGCGCCCATGGCGTTTTACATTGCATGTATTGCTCGTATTCAACAGACGTATTGTACAATGTGCAATCTACTAGTTATGACGTTGCCGCTTTGGCGTTTGAGGCATGTCCTCCTCGGAATGACTAGGGGATGCGAGCCAAAGCGATTCCTTTGAACTTTGCGCCCGCGATGGTGTTGTAATGGGGGACAAATGCAATGCAGGGAGGCGATTTGGAAACGGACGTCCATTGGGAGTTTTTGGCGACCGAAGAACCTGCGCCATACGTGTGGCCCTTGGCGTAACAGAACCTGGTACGGATAGTAACCCAAGCCGATCTGCAGGAGAAATCTGAGAGATAATTGAGGAGAATAGCAAATGTACGAACCCAGAAAGCGTGTTTTGGTCGGCGATGCCCCCAGGTCGATAGTGCAATCCTCTAGATCGTCCCCGCTGTCAGAGCTATCCTCAGGCTCCATACAGATGATCTCGCCAGCTGCGTCAGTATAATCATCAGGGTCTTCGTCATCGGAATCCTCTGTGCACAACGTATGATTTGTCTGCCCTGGCAGTGGCAGCTGGTCTTCGGTGAACTCCGTGTACTCATTCCGCATGCCGGCAATCATCTCGTCGCTGGAAGGACCCCACGATTCAGGTTGTGGTATGGCTGAGGGTATGTCACCGGCTCGGCGACGCCAGATAACCGCTAGTTGCAGAAGCTGTTCACGACGGCCCTGAAGTTGATGAGCCATCCCCGGACTGAGATCTGACGAATCATCAAGGTCATTAGTGCTCTCTTAGACTAGAGGGCCCGATCTTTACCTGCGACCGCACGGGCTCTCTCGACCGCTGCCCATTCCGCAAGAAGCCAGCTCTGCATGGTTCCGCGCTCCTTGTAAATGCGTGCCAGCTCTTCTCGGCAGCGGTCACGCTCGAGCATGGCACGTATCCCGTTTCGATACCGTTTGTCACTGAGCCAAACGGGACAGGTCGCGCCATGATCGTCGTCATCCAGAAGTCCTGTGTCTTGCCAGATGGGGTCGTCCACGTCTAGCTTCCAGAAGGTAGTCACATCAATTGTGGCTGGCGTGACGGCTCCTGCCGGTGCTTGGCCCTTTTTTATCAAAGCGTCCATCTCGCGACACAGCGCGTTGTATCGCTGTACGGTATCCCGAATGCCGGTTTCACGTCTTTGAACGGCTGTCGCCGTATGGCCATGTAGTTTGCGTTCTGCATGAAAAGTAAGCTCGTAGTTCACCGTTGACGATCAAGATTACCTGATGAACGCCCGGACCGCAACTGCTCGATCCTCGACAATTCGAATTTGCGTTGTCGCAATTTCTCTCGGATCCGCGTCTTGAGAGCAAGCGCATTTGCTTTTCGTCCAAGAAAGAGATCTTTCCTCAGCGCTTGAAGATTGCGAAGAGCTGGTTCATCCAGGAAGCCTTCAAACTTGGCGAGCTTCTTTCGCGCGTTCATTCGATCGTCTTCCAACAAAGTCTGGTAGTCTAATGCCTGTAAAGGATCGGCATTGAGGACGCTTGCATTACCATCCGCGATGGCGCGGTCGAGTTCGCGAATGCGCTCATCGAGGGCGATGATGACTTCAACGTACTTCGTGCCCGCGTTCTTTGATTGCCCTACAAGGAGTGAGAATGGAAGTTATCCACATTGACTACGGTACGCACGTGGGATAGGTTTGGTCTGAACAGCACGCTGGTTGGCCCATTCCGCGCGAAGTGATTCTTCGTCAATACCACTCTCGCGAATCTCTTTCTCGGCTTCAGATAATCGCATGCGACACATTTCGTGCCGCCTCGATAACCACACCGCAAGATTGAGCAAGTGCTTCGATATCAGATGAAGGAGCTGGCAATCAAGGAGATATCTCCGTTGGTAGTACTGAAAATTTGTATCAGCGAGTGTAAGAGATTTGCGAGAAGAATATTACCCCGCTTCCCCTCAGTACTGAGACCAGGTGATTGAGGGCGCTCCATAGCCGCTCGCACCCTTCACCATCGGAGAGACCAAAGCCACTGCACTTTCGCGGGTGATAGCAACACTGGCACGGCCACTGGTGCCCGTAGGCATGAAGGACTGATATCGCGAAGGTTATGCGATCACGGATATCGCACAAGAACCCCCATTTGAAGACGCTCCGATGAATTTGACAGCCAATGTCGTATAGGATGCCAGCACGCCATGAAACTGGTATATGTTGAAATAATTTGTTGATCAGCGCAAGAGCGTAGTGCTGGCGTTCCCCCGCGCTGGTCATATTAGCCACCCACAGAGTACAATCGTGTCGACAGAGCAACGCCACAAGGCCAGTGTCGTCAAAGAAGGTGGTGCTCGCTTTTTCGCGTCGTTCGTCGGCAGCTTTGAAAGAAGCTTCGCAACCATCAAGAACCGAATTTGGGACCTGAAGAGGTCCCTCGCATTTGTCGGGCTCCGTTGTCGCGTCCTTGCCAGATGTTGGGTCCGGGGCTGCCCTTTTCTTCCCCTTTCCTTTGCCGTCATTCTGCGATGAAGCAGGCTTGCTTCGACACTCTGCTACGAAGTCTTCCATGGCTTTCACTTCAGCATCGGGCATAAAAAAGGTGTCCGGATGAACCTTCATTGGATCGCGCGGGCCAGAGCGCCGTTTTTGACTGAAACAGGCATCGATGCATACGATCACATCAAATCTGGAGAACATTATCATTATTATTCATAACTGTCTTGCGATACACACTTACTCCATAGATTCGTCGCGGCTGCTAACACCCGCAAAGCATAGAGGACATCGCGACCGTAAATAAAGACTTGGTCTTGCTTCCTCTGCATGGGATCCGGGAAGGGGGGAAGACGGCTGTTGCTGATGCTCCGACGCTGAAGTCGGCGCATCGCAGCTGGGATTCTGCGGCGGAGAGTCGGCCGAAGTTTCAACGCCTGGACATACGGAGGGCGGAAATGGTGCAGACACTGATCGGACAGCGTTGATAGCTTCATCAACCTTCGCTGTAACGCAGTTTGTTAGGTGCATGTACCAGTTGAGCGTGTTGCCCAAACGGCGTCGCACCGAGTACTAGTAGAGTATAGCAATCAGTAACACCGAGCATACGTTACGTCTGGACATACCCTTGTGCGAAGCTTGAACTGTCTGGCCCCGAGGAAGGTCTCTAGAGTAGATGCCCATGCCGTGATGTTCGGTGCCACCCTCAAGAATAACGTCGCCACAAGTTCCATCATATTGATGTCAAATGCAACAGAGGGAGCTTGGGGCGCACAGGGAAAGAATCCGCGGGAAACTAAAAAACTTGCTGCCGACGTGCAGCTACACACACGAACGTCCATGTTTTCGAGACCTGACAAAACGTAAGATAAAGGATAGATTGATCAGAGAACACTTACGATCAACATAGACGATCAAAACTTTCAGTGTCTTTGAGTTTGCACCATAGCCACAGGTGCACGGAGTTTCAGAGACCTGATCACAGGTCCGGTTACGGGCGCACGCCAAGTGGTTCATGTAGGGCGTCAATAGTTCCGGTATAACGATGGTGCACCAACGTTCCCATTGATTTGCCTTCTTCCGTGCGTATCGAATCTTGTGGTAGTCCTTCCCAGGTTCTGGTGGATCATGATAGCGAAGAGGTGACGAGCAACGGTGCGACGAAGGAGAGCCGAAGGAGTGGCCTGAGGGCGTCGATGGGGTGTTGTGCACGTTCGCAATGACTTCTTCGAGGCTCTCTCTTGTAACCAAGGGTCTTTGTCTCCCATCCGGATGTTGCGCAAGCGTCTTCCCATCTGGAAACAGGATTACGGGCAAAGGCTGGCCAACTCTCTGAGCTGGCAACGAACCACGGCCGGACAGAGAAGGACCATGGTCTAACGGTGTGGCTGAGGATTTCTTGTCTGAAGACCGCAGATGGTGACGGGGAATGCGAAATGACATGGTTTGATGTAAAGACAATGCAAGCCGTCGGCGACAGACAAGCAGGTGACAACGTGTACTTTCATCCCTGGGATGAATATTGTATCACCAACACCGCATTCTCATCATTGACTTCCATGACCTTTCGCGCTCTGATACTGCAAGTCACCCAGTTCAGCATTGCATAACCATCCCAGCGCGAACCACCCAGCTTCACAAGCAATTTAGAGCGCACATCCAACGACACCCAACTCACGCTGGCAGCATCGCATATCGTCATTTCTTGGCACGCCAATGGACCGCACTCGTAGCTCCCGAAAGAGTTCACGGGTCCGGAGAGCAGGATTACAGGCACCGAGAGGCCAAATCTGAATCGGTAAGAATTAACGTAAAGACAACGGAGGACCTTGGTCTAATGGTGTTGTTAGGGATGCTTGGTTTGACTGAGGACCACAGATGGCGATGGTGCATGTAGGAAGGCGTCGCCATACGCGAAGGCGAGGACAACAACAATCTCATCACCAACTCCCTCTTTTTCCATCTCATACTGTTGTACATCCTCGAATGTTGGTACCGCAATACAACCTCACTCACCCCCAAAACGACTGACCCGTTGGAAATGAGCCGTTTCGAAGGCTCGTGAGGAGTTAAGTGATTTGACAATGGCAGAACTGGTCACTTTCAGCGGCGCAACAACTGTCTTTCGATGTCAACACTCCATTGAGCATATATAGAGGCTTTAATATTCAGAAACATCACGCTAAGGTTGGGCTCGATTCAGTCTGCGCAACACAAACGCCAGGCCATGCATGCTGCTGTTCTGCGCGAGCGCCTTGGAAGGTGGTAAGATAATCCGTTACGAATAAGGATAACTATCAATACAATCTGACTCCGCGTTGATCTTATTGCAATAAATACCGAGTGATGAATCTCCGCGAAAGAAAAGAACGTGCTTGTAGTGGGGTCTATAATTACATATGAGGACTGCTGAATATGGTAAGAGTGGGAAGGAGGTGATTGTTTTCGGCCTGAATTGTGTCACCTCTCGTAACCAAAATGAGATATACAAACGCAACCAGAAAGCACCCTTTGAATTTACGCTCCATCAGTGGGAACCGACTGAGCACGCACGCGCAAATAATTTGGGAACGGGGGCGTGTTTGGGCGAGACATCATTCGAGTCCGAGACTCGTCCATAAGAGGCACGCGCAATGGCGTGACGTGCTGGGGGGGATCAAACTGGATACCCCAAACAGGGCCAACAAACAAGGAGTCGTGGAGCATATGGATAGCAGCGCGCAAGACGCGATTATCTGCGGTGATACGTAAGCGCAGCACCGTGTTCAAGACGGAATAAAACCTACCGATGGAATAGGCATAGCTTATAAACCACCAGCACTCCATCGTGTCTTCTCCCAAGATTTTGCCAGTAATCTCGACGTCTCGCTCGCGGCTCAAGTCAATGTCCTGTGAGTAATAATCAGTTGAGGTACGGGTACAGTTTTGGCTTGGCGTTACTCACGTCAGGTACATACACCTCGATGACACCACCGTCGACAGTCCGTAGCATCACGGACGATCCTTTGTCCTGATTATCACAAATGTAGAATCAGAATTTAATGGTGCATCATGTAGAGCAGCTGCGTACCTCTATGATCTGACCTGGGACGCGAGCGCTACGACCTCTATAGCGTGGGAAACGGGCGGAATCGATCCTAGGGGCAACACCGCACCAGGGCAGAAATGGAACAGACATATTCAAGATCAGGCAAAAGGGACGATGCAAAGGGAAAGACAGAAAGCAGGGCGAGGCGCTGATCGCCGAGCCAGAAATCCTTGAGTATATATACGCGGATTTGGTGACGGGCACGTGCTATTCTTTATCGGTTGCGGTGCGCCTTTGTACGTCCCACTCCGGCCTTTGGTACATCCCATCCAACCTTTGGGACGTCCCAAGGCTTGGCGAAGCCACTCTTAGTGAAGAAGGTCACCACACTACCGCGCTCTCATGTCACTCATGTAATTACCAATTCCAATTTCAAAGCGCCACAAGAATCACCCAAATCCGCACAGGCTTCGCTCCCTAGCTGCCTATTTTCTCAGTCAACGTTACCTGAAGATTACGCTCATTACGCCGCCAGGGCTTGCCCGTCCTCACGTAACTCTGCATACTTCATGCAGAGCTCTCAAGCGTGACAGAAAACCCCCCTCATCCCACTGCGGTCTGTGGTATGTCCACGTACGATACATTCCCCGCTCCGCGATGGTTCCATTTCAAGAAGGCCGACTTATTCGCCGTTTTCTGAACAGAATTTCTTCCCCATAATCGGTGCAGCCGGTGCCCGCTATCATGTCTCGTGTAGCCCAGAACTCTTGACGTGCCTGAGCCTGGTTACGTCCCAGCGGTATGCGGGGATCACCCAAATGGGCGCTTGACATTTTTTTTTGCGTGTGGTGTCACTTCATCTCCTTCTCAATACGTCAGGGCACATTCCAGGCGTTCTCGGAGCTTCCGTACCGACCCCGTCATTGACGCACTTCTGCAAAGCCCCGAAAGATGGTCCATGGGCCGCAATTTGGGTCGTAAGAAGCCGCTGGTCCTTCTTCAACGGCGACGGCATTTTGATGGCGGAATTAGTTTCCATGGGCAACACTGTGGAGTGATCCGAATACAACGCCACAGCACACGCCACAAATCATGTTCGATCGGCAGAGAAGTTGTCGGCACCTTGCATGCGACGATCCACGGCAGACAGCACGCAAGCGAGAACATATGATGGTGGCGGCGGATATAGGTGATGTCAATCCTGTCTCCGACTGTGCGTGGAGGTGGAGTTTGCGAGGCATGATAACCAGCGTTACAAGTCGACTTGCAACCTGCGAGTTACATCGTGATGTGCAAAGCCGCCGTAGTCATGAGATTGTAACAGTATTAACTAGTAAGACAACGGTGGAGCTGTGAAGAGACATTTGTCGCCGATTATAGAGAGTGCTTGGAGACACCGTGCTTTGACACTTATCTGGTTGTGACCATACACCATTAAGCTGGGTGTGGCACCAGCAGCACAAAGGCGGATGCTGCAGGGCGGGCAGCCAAGAAGGCCCCAGTGCGGGTGAGTTTTACGTCGACGCTGGGATTCTAGGTCGGGCACTTACCTTCTGTCAACGTCGTGCTACGCTGGGATGTATCCCAGTGTCCATAAGCAACCCAGAACTGGCAGAGGAGACGGTGGGAGAGTACGAGGACGATGAAGGTATGCAGTCGTACCATATCTGTAGTCAAAGAGGTGGTCGGGTGTCAATAGTACGTATCCTTCAAGTTCAAATGATAATCTTGACCGGGGTGTACGAGCCTTTGGATGTTACATGGACCGTGTAGAGCGTCAGGAGGTGCGGAGGTCCAACATGAGCATACACAATTGCGACTGTGATAGGTGAAGTACCACCAGCCCAGAGGCGGATGTTGTTTCGCTAGCAGTCAAGCCGGCTCGAGTGCCGTTGAGTTCGATGTCAATGCTGGCTCCTTAGGTCGGGCTCTGGCCGTGAGTTGATGCAGCACCGTGTCAGTAAGCATCCACAAGTGACCCAGGAGACGAAGAGGAGCTCAGAGACGGCACGGGAGTACGAGGACGAGGGAGCTATGTAAGGAGAAGTATGGGTAGCCGGACCATTGATATCTATGTAGGCAAAGAAGTGGCCGGGTTTCGATAGTACGAATCCTCCAAATAATAATCTTGGCCTTGGTGTACGAGCCTTTGCATGTTACATGGACCATATAAAGTGTCAGGAGGCGCGGAGGTCTAACATGAGCATATATGGTGGCGATCAAAAACTATCAAGGTGTGTAGGGCTCCATTAGTACATTGGTACTAAGCTGTTACCGGGAGAGCAGTGAGGACGGTTCAAGTGCCGTTGAGTGTAACATCGACACTGGATTTGGAGGTCAGGCACTCATTGTCAGTCGCAGTAATGCTACGCCGGGCTGCATTGAAGTGACCATAGGCTAACCGAGGAGATGCGGAGGTGCCAGGACATGGCACAAGAGTACGGGAGTGGAAGGAATGGCTAATCGACGCATGATCTTATCTACCCCGCAAGCAATCGAGAACGGATAGTACACGCCGTTCATATAAGTTCCAGCCTTGGTATGCATCTGGATCTATTCCTTGTAAACCCGATTTGGACAACATCGGTGATCTCAAGTAACGAAGACACTGATAGCCTGAGTGAGGAGAGATACACAATGTGAGCGGGCACGGCGAGATGAATCGGAAACTCGTGCTCGTCAACGACAAATGTTCACCCTTCAAGTTGGCATCGAGTGATGGTGGAAACACTCTCTCTGCTTTATCGTGCTCGCGATGACATGTTACTAGGCAATAATGTCGGGTAGATTGCGATCACCTCGCAAGTCTTCAGCGCTGCATATGTGCGCGAGCCATCCATACTAATCACACGTAGGCTGCAAGTAGCCTCATTCCGTTATTCCAGCACGTTTGTGGCATGAAATTCAACCCTATGACAGAACTTCGATAAGACTCTGCGGCGCGGAATATCTACGGCTCCGTCCCCCGACTACTATGAATCGTGAAGAAATTACGAATAGTTTCCCCAGGACCTGGCACAGTGCGAACAAGTCCCAGGTGCGGTTCTCCTTCTCCTTCGCCATTCCGATCCCAAATCATGTCCAACGTGATGGGAATGATGCTGAAGTTATCGGTCACTAAAGGCACCAATGCCTCGTTTGGGTCGATGCTGCGTCCGCCCCAGCGGAAGTACAAGTTTGCAAAACCGGATTTCAATATCTGTACATTAGAGCTGTGAGTTCACGCACAACGGAGCAAAAATGCAGTGTACATACAGCTTCCGACTTTCTATCATACTCGTCAGTGGTCAGAAACGCCAATCCCATCACGTGCTGAAGGTAGAGGCGGCAATTCACACCGCATGTTCGTCGCAGACGATGGAAGTTAGTCATATGGTAGTTGAGGATACTATCCTGAACAAATTCCTGGACTGTCTCCGGCCGTAACGCATACGACAGAAGCTCTTGTGCCTACAAACTCTCAGCCTCAACTCACGACAAACGTAACAGATCCCGTACCTCGGACTTTCGATTCAACCATGAGCGGAACCAAGGGTTTCCGTCGGTGACGCCCCAAAGCGCCCCAGACTGGTTCATCTCCACCTCCGGAATTCGCCACGGGAGCGTCAACTCGCGATGAACAAAAATATGCCTTGGGTGCATGACACCGGAGCCGGGCGCGCTCTCGTTGATCTTGCCTGGCTCAAACCGCTCGTACGCTCCTATGAACTCGCGTACGGCAGACTAAGGCAATTTGGTTACTTGAGCTTTCGATGTAAGGAATTCATCTCACCGGAGAATTAATAGGGTCCAGCAACAAATTCCCGAGCACGAAGATCCATTTCAGGTACGCTGCCGGTGCTGTCCCGAGCAGCATTCTATCATAGTAGTAACCGGACAGGTGTTGCAGCACCAAGGGACTATAGTTCCATAGATTCCCGTCCCTATCCCCTTCCCTCAGCATACCAACCAAAACGCGTGCCTTGCACCGCTGTCAGCATGGTTGGTAGCTGAAGACTCAGCGCCCTGGCCTCACCGTGGTATACTTGTCGCGGAAAATCATTGCGTCAGTGATGTCCACAGCGTTGATATCGTCGGTGCAGGTGGTGGCCATTATTATCAAAGTGAGAGGCAGTCGAGGGAGAGAAAGCACAATAGAGCAGCGACGATGAGGTATATCCCCAAGTTTTTGCTCTTCGGTGTGAGTTGAGCCACTTACGTTCTTGTGTGGCTAGATCGTGACATTGCAAATAGTTCCATCCGTCGATTCCATGTCCCCGCGCAAGTTTGTGAAGCTTCCAGGGCCGTGCTCTTGGCGTGATTAATGAGGCGGGCGTTGGGCATACGATCACATCGGATTTCTCAAATCACCGCCGGCGGTCTTACAGTTGGTACGTACCATCCCGGTTGGACCTTTTGTCCCGCATGTCTAATTCTGTGCGCCTCTAGTCATCCAACCCACATGGATTGTGGCTACCGGAGTTAACATATCCGCTCCGTCAAGGTCCGGTCCGCCGATACTCAAACGATTGCGCTCGCAACCTGGAATCGTGTCGGCGAAGGCAACCAATTGTGCCCTCCAAGATTTATTGCCTTAACACCGGTGTTTCGCAATTGGTGCGTTCTGTTCCGTTTGCAGCCTTGTGTTGCATGTCTAACAATACGCGCGACTTCAGTCGCAAAGTCCACACGGAGTGTTGTTAACAGGGTGAACATATCGGCAGAGTCAACAACCGGCACACCGGTACTCGAATGATCGCGCTTGCAACCTGCAATTGCGTAGGCAAAGTCGACCAAGTCGCCCCTCTTGCATTTTTTGCATTACCACCGGCGGTTTTACAGCTGGTGCGTGTCGTTCCATTTCCGCCCTTGCGCCGCATGGCTAACAGTGTGTGCGCTTCTAGTCACTCAATCCATTCGGAATGTTGTTGCCGGGGCTGACATATCGGCTAAGTTAAGGTCCGGTCCGCCGATACACGAACAATCGTGCTGGAAACCTGCAATTACGTTGGAGAGTCGATCATTCTCGGACTTCTCCACCATCGCCGACGATTTCGCCGCTTGGTATGTACCATCTCAATTGCACCTCGGTCCCTCATGTCTGACGCAGAGTGTGCTATTCGCCGTTCGACTCGCACCCGATTTCATCGACTGCTTGGACTTGGATGCAGTCAAAGCTCGATCCGCCGATGCCAAACAGTCGCCCTGACGGGTCGCAACCTTATAGATCCGACCAACTCTGCGCTTTCCCACTCATCACTGGGTTGCATTGTTCTGTCTCAGTCACCACTCGGAATCTCGAACTTCAACCTCTTCTGCACGCTTTCAAATGCCTCAAACACGTTCTGGGGTGCGGGTAAGATGTTTGCTACATTGAGTGATATGTTTGGAATTGACATTTTCGAAAGAAGGCCCAGAATACAGTATTGTCTTTACCGCCTCCGGAGATGAAGAAGAAGCGGGTATGCAGTATGTTATTTTCTGCGTATTCACAGCTAATGCTAGCTACAGAAGAAGAAAACGGCTCCACTTGTTAGTTCGGCACAGTCAGCGTGTGATGCAGGAGCGCCGGTAAGTGTTCTCAGCTCAACACCGTCGACAATAATGCTCAATATTCTCTTCTTTCAGCTTGCTCAATCTGAAGTTGAAGCTCGGGCGGCATCGCTGACCGAAGGAACGGTTGAGTTGCCAAAGGTGATTCTTTTGTGCATATCATATTCTATTTTGCTCACATTCGTAACCCCGTCTCATCAGGAAGCCCCAAAACCGACGCGAAATCAGAGGACGGCTAAAGTTGCAAAAACCGGCAAGAAGGGCAAGGTGAGATTCTTGAGCGCTTGTTATATATCAGGACAAAGGCTGAGTGTAAACTAGACGAAGATTGTACCGGCCAACGAAACGGCAAGCATCGACCATGACGCAGCTGACGGGTTGGTAAACATGGCGACATCGGATGCGCCTGTATCACCGGTCACTTCGTCGTTATCCTCGGTGCATAGCAGGATTGGCTCTCCCGCATTGGTCAACACTGTCGTGCCCCCGATGTCAATCGCCGAAACTCCCTCCGCCGTGGCGCAGCTGCCAAATGCGACAAACAGCATGGCGCACCGTTCGACATCTCTAGAAAGTCCACAGGGCTCTGTTGTGATACCCTCAGCTGCTGCCTCTGTCGCCAATCACGAGGGGAATTCATCTGAATGTTTGCCCCCGGATGCTTCTTCATCGGCTGGGGAAACGTCGCATGCACAGGATGCATTAACTTCGTTTATGGCATCGATGATCTCGGCGGAGGCTAGCGTACAAAAGGAGGTATGTGCCCGTTCTACCGGCTCTTCAATCTACAAAACTAACCGAACCCTTTTGCCTAGCGTACCGCAGCGGCAGAATTATACCGTTTTCCCGCGATTGCGCCTTGGAAATCTACGCTGCTAGCCCCACCAATCCAGACCACGCAAGGTGCAGGACTGGGTACAACCGAGCCTAGATCCACGAGCAAGGAAGCCGCCGTTGCATCTTATACTTTCCCCGATCCCTTCCCATTGACAACCGGTGCTCACGTTGTGCACAGCGCTCAGCCGGTAAGCCTTTGCGGGCATGTTGCTCGACGTGGTCGCTAACAACATGGTCTCCAGCCCGCTCCCCAGAGTTCGATTATCCCGAGTGTATCGCATGGCATCCCGACCGATCCAGACGCCAACCAAAACGGTCGGGACGGGGAAGATGACGCACAACATCTTGACTGCTCTCCAGCGCAGGCGCCTGATTGCGCCACCTTTTTGGAGCTCGACAAAGATGAGGACTGGGAAGACCTCGATTCTGACAACGTCGAGGAGGACGGCTCTGGTCCTTCCATCGGTGACGATCCACTCAGCCCAGACTCTCCAAACCGTCCCGGGGCAATCAGCGCGGAGGCCAAAGCAAAACTCGATAATTTTATCAAGTACGCGGATAAGTTCAAATTACAGCTCGCGAAGGAGACGGGCAAGTCACTGGATGTCATTGCGAAGTGGATTGGCCGGCCGCCGCTAATATCGTCTCGCGCGGAGAACCGGTGGCAGGTATGGCAAGCGTGGTATGCCGCACATCATCCACAGATCAAGGCTACCGATGGTTCAGCCGTAGGTACGTATTTTGGTTCAGCCCACGTTTTCTCTTTTTCATTTCATTTGATGCAGCGGAGGACTCGGAGACGTTTGCGCGTCGCAAGAGGAGCGCATACTATGCACGTCTTGCTGGTCACAAGACTTGGCAAGAGAAGAAGGCCGCCATGCAAGACTGCTACGACTGGTGGCATACGAAACGCCAGGAATTCTTGGACAATCTTGTCGGGACGGGGAAAACTAGCAACTTAGTCACGGTTGCCGCTCGTCAGGTTGGCGCTATGGTGGGTTCTGTTGTGTTCGCGTTTCCTGCCCCGCTAATTCCTCGTCTTGGATCAGTCGGAGCATTGGCATTCACAGAGCGGACTCCATATCTTCGGCATCATAATTGACACCGCCGGCGGGAATTACATCATGACGGGAGGTTCCCCGCTCTGGCCGCGGCTCAAGGCAAGGTTTCCCAAGAATCTGCACAAGTATATAATGGAATGCAGAGCCCTCGCTACGTATGTGCCGTTACCGTTCTGGAAAATGTTTCTTAAAAACAGTTTAGAATCTTGGAACAAAATGAGGATGGCTCACCTGCTGTCTCCGACGAACAACTACAAGGTCTCATACCTATGGACAAATCAGACGGTCCTGAAGATGATGTTCCTGAATTGGTCCTCCCGGACGACAACGGCAACGGCAACGGCAACGGCAACGGCAACGACAATGACGACGACGACGACGACGAGACCAACGAGCTCTCCGCCGATGGCGTGCTTGACGAGAAGAATTCCCGTGACGGCTGCGATAAGATATTGAGGCGTATCATATTGGCGCTGTGCAGTGAGTATCGCTGGCTCATTTACCGTGACTGCGCCATTTAATCCGCCGCTAGATGATATCGGTATACGCACCTCGAAGTTCAAATGGGGCACGATGTTGGAGTATCTCGTTACGAACGGGATCACATTATACAACTGGTGCCCCGAAGCCACTATGACGGAGATCAAAATCAAAGGACGGAAAGACCGAATCGCTTTCAACTTCCGCACAGGAAATAGTCTGAACATCAAGGCGATGGTCGAGAGGAACAATGGCCCAGGGAGGTTGGTCATCAAGAGATGGGATGAAGGTTTGCGCCTACGTCATGCTATGTTTATGATGTTGCTAACGCACCATCCAGAAGTGATGAAGAAGCAGTGGCGCGAACGTGGGGATGTCCCTATTCTGCTTGCCTATATTCCTGCAAGCGGCTGGGGAGGCAAAGAAGATATCATCGACACTCCCTATGGACGTCAAATTGTTCTGTATCGCGCCCAGGCTACGCAGGCGTACTGCAATGCCGTCATCGAAGAAAGCAAACCTGCGCCTCCTGTGCCTGTTCGCGTCAAAGGTCGAGGCAAACAGAAAGCAGCTGACCAAGGCGCTCATGCGACGAAGACGAAACGCCAACGGTCTCAACCCGTACATCCCTCGCCGGTCGATACGCCCACTTCTACTCTCAATACCGATCATTTAGCACGACCTTCTGGGTCCACGGAGCCCAAAGACGCGCGCAGGGGCCATATTTTGGGGACTATTACGACACACCATCACTACGACAATCCGCTTCTCAAAGGACGAAAGAGGACAAAGGATCAGCTGTACATCGAATTGGACAGCAGTGACGAGGAGTCTGCGTGCTCTCCCATCATTTCAGCAGTTGCAGCAAGGCCCACCGACCACCAGTCGGTGCAGCCGCCCCCCCAGGTACTCACGGGTGGATGGGTGCGTGTCTTGGGTATGTTCGTATCGCATACTCATTGTTTGACCTATTCAGAATGGCGCCGACGTCAATGAAAGCAACGGCAATTATCTTAGCGGACATGGGCTACAGTACAATGAGGTGCGTTCATGATGCAATGCACTCGAATCCCATCTGACCTGTTGTCATTCAGCAAACCCTCTATCCCCCCCACGTCGGGTTCAATGACAACCCTATCTTTGGCATGCACATCAACGACCCGGCTCCAATAGCAGCACAGGTGCGCCACTGATCACTGCTCGTTTCATTGCATTTACGCATTCTGTCGCTGTCTCAGGCTGGCGCCGACTTCATCGCCAACGCTCAATACGGGTTATATATCACACCACCCGATCATGCTGGCGATGGCTACGCCACACATTGGAATGGATTGGTGCAGGACCAGACGGCGGCCCCGACTTACATTGATCCCTTGGCCACCGGCTCTCTTCCAACAATTCCCGAACCTCCGGGTGAGTGGTCAGAGTTTAACGCAGAAATGTCGGCTCACGTTCGCCTAGACACGGAATCAGGGAATGATCGCAACCCTAAACGCATTGCGCAGAGCTATCCTGGGGATGTACCGTCATCGACGCCAGTCATACAGGCCAAACGATTCAACGGCAACCCTGGCGATGTTGTGCACGCGTCGCAACCTCCCATTCGGACCATCAAAGGACCTCGGCCTCTACCCTTACCAAGAAGCAATCAGGTGATGCGTTATGGGAACATCCCTGAAGAGACACGTCACAATGTGCCCCCCTTTCCCGCAGAGCTCCAGCCTTTCATGTATCCTGCTCAACCGACCAACTATCAATCGCATCCTCATCCTCCACGTCTCCATTGTGAGCTGCCACAAATACCACACGATGGCTCACAGGGACTCACGGTCCAACGTTGCGCTGACACTGTGCATGGGCAAGCCTCATCGACACGCAAGCCGCTACCACTACCATCGGCTGTTGATTGTCTAACGGCACCTATCCAGGTCTGCCAGGAGCCGTCAGCGATGAGTCTCTGGCCTCCTCAGCATGGAAGCAACTCCGATAGCATGCCGAGGGATCAAGCGTCAATCAGCTTCCCTCCAGGCCGCTCCCCTTTATACGTCTCACCCAACCCGAACACCGCGTATTCGGGCCGTCCCCCCGCCCCGTCTATTCAGCAATCCTTCGCTTCCGCAAGACTAGTACGTGGAGTTGCGAACGATCAGCTCAATGACGCTCTTCAGATACCCGCACAGGCAAGCAATCTTACGAGTCTGCGTCAAGGACAGCCAGTCTTGTCCAATCGTCCTCAACCGCGTCCCATCAAGAGGTCTCGGAGTGATTACGAGGGCCCAGAGGTGGACATGGATGCGCAGATCCGAGCTGAAGGCACGAAGCGTGCCGCTTACTTGCGCGAACAGGATGCTAAACGGGCACGCACACAAGAATCATAGACTATTCATAACATATTAGCGGATAATGTCTTAGCGGAGTTATAATGCTATTGTCGAGAAACGCGCTAGTCGTTTTTCACCTGCCCGCAGCGAGCCTGAGTTATGCAAAGAGAAGAGATGGATACACGAACATGTTTGACATGCAACTTACAATGCAACGCAGTGTTCGCCTTTAACTGGATGCTCTACTGATATGCCTGATTGCCACGGCCCGTGCTTGTGTCTCCTTCGATACTTCGGTCAACTCCTCGCCGGGGGAGGGGGAGGGGGTACGAGATCACCACGCGAAGGATCCTCCCAGCGGCCGGCATTAGTAGTGTCGTCCCGTGGTACGATTTAAGATGCCAGGGACGTACCATTGGGCAATCAGTTATGCCCCAGCGCAGCGCACGAAGTGCTGGTACGTCCCACTGTTCCCCTGGCGCGCAGGTACTTGATGGTGCGATGGGCAAGAGTGAAGAATGTACCACGCAGCAGAGAAGCCCACGCTGGTACATCCCATTCTGGAGTCGACAGCACTGGCACGTCCCATCGTGCCAATGACACCGCTGGTATGTTCCAAATGGAACTGTCATACCGCCGGTAAGTCCCAATGCTCGATGGGGAGGTAGGGTATATACCAACGCACCGAGATCATCCATGGTAAGTCCCACAAGGGCCGTGGCAACTACCAAAAGGCGGCAGCCACCATGGTAAGTCCCAACGAAGCTTCTCGACGATCATGGGAGATACCACCGTGTTCTTTCAGAGGGTGGTGCATCATTGGAATCACGCCATGATCGTGCCTCCATGTCGGGTACGTACCACAGTGCATGGGACGACGGCCATACGATCGAGGATGACCTAACATCCCCGAACGTCGATATGGGTAAGACCCACGGTCGAGGCACACTCCTAGCAAGCAAAATCAGATCTCATGAAGGACCCCTGCACGATTTCAAAGGAGATCCCAGGAACGGTACGTACCAGCAGCGGTTGCGGACCGAGAATGCAAGCCAGGGCTGGACGCCCCCTGCTATGCCGGCGAGCGTTGCGTGGCGATTGACTGGCCGGTATGCTTTGCATATGCACATATTTCGCCTCCACGGCGGCTGGCGATG